GGCAGGTTTTTTTATCCACTGGCCATAAAAGAAAAGGCCCAATCTGTGGTAGTCATAAAAGCTAGTTTTATAAACTTTAGAGATGTTTTGTAAGTGTTTGGAGAGCAACACTTTACTTGTTTAAGACTTTTGTTGTGAAGAATTAAGGAAGTTGTGTGAGTTAGTTTCTTTGCTGGCTTGATGTTGCTGTAAGGGGTTGTTTTGTATTACACCCATTCAACCTTTATTTATAACTTTATTTATTTTATAACCTTTATTTCTCATTGAATCACAACAGTGCTTTTTAAACAAAAAACGTAATTGAGGTACACACAAGAATAAGCATTCAGTTTAAGGACAACCATAAATCTTGAGTTATGTTATTACAAAGTATTTGTTACATAGAGAATAGAAAATAAGCAACACGTGCGCAACACCAACAAATTACCTGCAGAAACAATTTTATATTTAAAAAAAAAGTTGAGATAAGTTTATCACATGAGCAAGCAGTGGGCGTACTGGTGTGTGTAGAGTAGCATGGCATTGTGTAATGGAATTGTTAGGTCACAGATATGTTACCAAAGTTAAAAGCTCTTCCACAATTATCTAATTAGCTGTGTTTTACAGACATCTTTGGCTATACAAATATAAGTGCAAACCTAATCTAAAAAGGCATTCATTATAAGAAACTGGTGTGCTTCCAAGCTGTTTTGTTTGAGGCTAAAGAGAGAATGTTGGATACAACCAGAGTATGGCACTTGACCTGGCTGAGAGCCAAAAACCTCCAACAGCCTAAAGCTCAACAGTGCAGGTTTTCCTACAGCCGATGTCGTAGGAGTTTTGTGATATATTGGAAATACTGTTTAAGTGGACTAGCTGTAACTAAACTTGTATTATTTCTGAGCTCAAAGAAGTGGCATTTAAATTGTTTTTTTTTATTTATTTTGCATTTTCACATATATCAGTCACAATATTTATGTTTACATTAGACCAATCTCACCCTAAAACATTACGTTATATAGATTTAGTGTGAAATGGACATCTGGAAAGGTGTGAAACTACCTCTTGGCCAAGTCCCAGATGTTGTAAATATCCAACAATTCCTTTTGCCACATACACACAATTTATCCTCCATTGGTTAGGGGAATTAACAGTGATTTGCAGGTTGTGTGGAGAGATGGGAATGACCCCAAACTATTGGCTCTATTTGTTATGCGCTCACTGTGATGTGTGGGTTTTGAGCAGAGGCTAGAGTTATCTCATTTTCACTTATAGGGGTCTCAGACTCAGAGGGAATGACCAAAGTGTGGTCAGATCCAGTCAGCTTCAATTACGGCTCCTTGTAGGTTTCCCAGGGGGGCACTATAGCTCCTTTAAGGAGAAATCAATGGGGTGACAAATTGTTGTGGACAGCAACCCCTTTTATTTCTTACATTGTTGCATCCATTCCTGGATGCTCCTCTAAGCATGTTTGTGTGCATTTGTTTCTGTGTGTGAGAGGGAGTGGGGATGTGCATGGGGGAATTTGTTTGGCATGTGTACTTAAATAAATAGCCTCATCTATGATAATTGAATGCTTTGGTCCATTTGTGTTTCGGTGGTTTATTTTCTGCTTGTGACTTTAATGGCTTGTTATTTGTCTAAACTTGTTTTTAAATGCTCTCTAATGGTTGTTCACATGCATTGCCCACTGACGCTTATTGCTGCTTTGTGTTGTTTATATATCACGGTAACAATGTTGAAGTTTTCTCAAGGTTATTTTTATGTTTGCTTGTTTGGTTTTTTTTTCTTGTGGATTTGATGGCTCATAAGCACAGGGTTGATGAGTTTAATTAAAAAAGATGGGGAAATATGTGTCACTGAATTTTCTGAGAGTGAGATTTCAAGCTGTTGCTAAAATATTAAATTCCATCACATCAATGTACCAGTAACTAAGTTTAAGTAAGCTATTTTTTTTTTGGTTTGTTTGTTTGTTTTGTTGTATCTTTTGCAGTGTCAGATAATCTATGTCAGCTTTGTCTATCCATTCTAAATTATCATAAGGATAAAACTTGTACCAAGATTAATTCTAGCAAGATGGAATTAGCATTCCTTGAAGGAATATTGTGCATCTGTTTGCATGCCAAGCGTTTAGCATTCAGCTGTGTCTATGAGGAATGTCAAATCTATTGTGCACCCATTGTGTGTGACCCAAACATAATTAGATCATTGGACTTGCTTGTGGCTTATCCCATCGTCCGCCACTTCACCTGTTTATTTTACAGTTTGTGCGTGATTGCCTGTGCTTTTTATATTTAACACAACTATTTCCACATCAAAGTTCACGCTCAATAATCAAGGTAAAAAATCCAACAAAGTCAGGACCTCTGGACGGTTTCTTTGTGTCGAAACATTTTGTCTTCCATCCAAAAGACTTCATCAGTCCGAGAAACTGCAACAAACTCAGTCCCATAAGCAGCACACTCACATAGTGGGCCAACCAGTTTGATGGTGATAAGACTGTGACACCACGGACTGGTGAAGTTTTTGGATAAAAGACGAAACGTTTCAACACAAATAAACCGTTCAGAGGACCTATCTTAAGTTTGTTGGATTTTTTTTTACCTGGATTATTGAGCATGATCTTTGAGAGAATGGTGGCATAGAGGTTAGAGAAGGTGGGCCTGTGAACGGAGGATCGCTGGTTCATCCCCTGGTACTGGCAACATCAAAATGTGGGTGGGATAGGTGAATCACCCACATCTACCTCCACCCTCATTTGTGCTTTGACTGGCTGGGTTTGAGAGGACATGAAGGAGACACTCCTTTCTGTGGCTCCTCAGACTGATGAATTCTCTTGGATGAAAGATGAAACATTTCAACACAAACCATCCAGAGGACCTGACTTAACTTTGTTGACCTATTTCCATAGTTTACTTGTGAAACTAGTTATACAAAAAAAAAAAACAGTCAACAATAGTTTCCATAAAATGGTTTGTTGTGTGTTAATTAGCAGCAGCTTGGTGTCCTAATTTGTATTTATTTATTTTTGCTAGTTTTGGTGTAACATGACTTAACATTTATTCTTCCTTGAATATATATATATATATATATATATATATATATATATATATATATATATATATATATATATCTTTTGTGACAAATTATATTTTATGTTCAGGTTTTAGATTTGTTGTTATTTTAGTCACAAATTTCCAGTTTTTCCAGTTGCAGCTCCTTCCCTTCCAGCTGCTATACAGCTGCAATCAACTCAACTATCCCACTGTTAACTGCCCCTCCCTTGTTATTAATGCAAAAATACTGCTTGTTTTCAATTATGCATCACTTTTTGTCCAATTAAATCCTGTTTTCCTCTTTCGGGTTGCTTTGGATTTCTACCAGTTATTTTACCAAAAGTCCAGCCTTGCTCCAAATTGCTTTTTGTTCATCTGCATTTGGGACCGTCATTCCACCACATTTTGTTTTAAGTTTTTTTTTTGTTGTTGTTTTTTTTTCAATTTTCCATTTAATTTGCTAACTTTTCATGCAGTCATGAGGGAGGTGGTGCCTATTTTGGCTTGAGAATGGAAAATGGAGTACTTGGAGAAAACCCATGCATTCATGGAAGAACATGTAAATTCCTCATAGAAAATCACCAGCCAGGTTCTGAACCTGTGACCCTCTTGCGGTGAGGCTTTAAGGCATGAAGAAAGAGAAGAACTTGTGTGAATGCCCTGAGTGATTGAAAAGTGGTCAAGGGGCTTCCCATTTCTACAGAATCAGATATTTTTACAGAAGTAATGCTCATTTAACACAACAATCAGAGTAATTCTAGATAATAACCATAAAATCTTTGTCAGTGCACTCTCTTGTTAATCTGTTAGCTGTAACAAGGGTAATGCTGACAATGAGTGTGAGTTTAATTAAAACAATGCAGTAGTAAAATGTTGAGGTAGACACTCATCAACAGTTTATTTTATGGGCAGGCATCATGATGCTCTTTCCATTACAGTTCAAAATGTCTGCATCATAAAGCAGATGCATTTACAGTGAATACTATCAACTTTCTAACTCATCTCTAGTTTCCTGACTGTTGTGTTATTTCCAGTTAAACACATGCATTTGCCATCATATGACCAATCATACTGATGCTACAAACACAAAATCATGAGAACATTTTGTTGTTTAACGGCCTCTGTAGGTGCACATGTTCACAAATGTTCAACTTCCTTAAAATTTAATCGAAGCTGCATCAACTGCATGGAATCATATTCAGTCTGAACTTAAAATATTGAAAATTATTTCTCTTAAAATACTACGAACAGTTCTTAATACTACATGTATGTGATGTGAATCAATAAATACGTAATTGTGTTTTAAATAAAAAATGTTCAACCTAATTTCTGCATTTTATGCTTAAGATATTAAACTGATTGTTGTGTTTGTGACTTATGTGACTCTCATATGATGCAAGCTGCTGACTTTATTTTATATATATATATATATATATATATATATATATATATATATATATATATATATATATATGCATTAGTCTCCCTTTACGAAACAAATCTTTATCTCAATGGGGTTTTCTTCTGGTTAAATAAATGAAATTAAAACGAGTCTATCATCTTCCAGAATAAAGTTTTAATAACAGGTATATGTGAAACAAACATCAAGCAATTCAAAAAAGTGTATAGCCTATTTTTGTTTGTATTTTTACTCATTTTTATGTCACCTAAAAATTAAATTGTAATATAAAAGCGTGATGTATTTGTCAATGAAGTTGATTAGCTTAAGCTGCCACTGTGATACACTCTATTAAGAAAATGTGCTTTACTGAAAATCCCAAGTTGAACTTGCTGGTACCTCACTAAGACACTAATCCTGCTTTGTAGTACAGGCTTTTCAATTTCAGTGTGTTTATTAGTACAACAATTCAAGGCATTATTTTTCCCTTTAAGACATCTTTCCATTGTGTCCCCAAGAGCCCACACCACTAATGGAACACATTTCTCTGTTTCTTGTCTCTGCAGGAAAAGAAGAGTACGTTGCAACCTTCAAAGGATCCGAGTTCTTCTGCTACGACTTGTCCTTGAACCCAATTCAAAGCAGCAGTGATGAAATCACATTGTCTTTTAAAACCCTTCAGAGGAATGGACTAATGCTGCACACGGGCAAATCTGCCGATTACGTCAACCTGGCTCTGAAAAATGGGGCTGTGTCACTCGTCATTAATTTGGGGTCTGGCGCCTTTGAAGCTCTTGTGGAGCCGGTCAATGGGAAATTTAATGACAATGATTGGCATGATGTCAAAGTAACAAGGAATCTACGTCAGGTAACAGTATGAATGGTGATGAAGGAACTCTATATTAATTAAATAAATGGTCTTCAATCATTACGATCATACAGTGCATTTTCCCCAAGATATAATTAGGTTGCTAAATTGAGTCATTGGTGGTTCAGGGTGAAGAATTAAACACAACCAAAAAAGAGCAGGGGCATCAGGAATTGAAACAAGATCTTTTTAAAATTATGTTTCTTTTGGGAAAAATCTAAAGATCTTGACTTTATTTCAAAGACTCTGAAAAGCACCTATTTAGCGTTTAGGATAAAAAGAACTAAGTAGAATGAAAATGTGTCCATCACCAAATTATTTAAGAAACTTTCTGTTTTAGCTACCTAAACTAAAAATATTTTTTGAATTATGTAACCTATGTGGTCCTTAATTTGGAAAATATATTTTAGTCTCATGGCACTATGCAGCCACATCACACTTTTTAAAGCAAACTTGCATCTAAAGCATATCTGTGAGGATTTGAAATGTAGATTTTAATCCAGGCAAATCCTTTTAATAAGATCTATGCACTATACAATGTATTCTGTGTAACGCTCATCTTTATATTCATAATTCCTTGGAGGCATTGTCAGTGTGAAAGCACACAACTTTTTAGGTGTTAGAAATCCCATTTGGCAGGCTGTGAAACTATAGTAGTCCTACAAAAACTGAGAGCTGACCTGTTTTTTTTAGTAGGACTCACACTTACCTGATGTTCTAAAGTTGATGAGATGAAAAAAAAAAAAAAAAAGATTTGTGTGCACAATTTACCTGGGCAAGAATAAATCATCCTTGTTAGAAAGAACCTAGGCAAAGATATAAAGTAGTAAATTAGGTTAGAATGCAGTGGTCACACTGCTATGGACAGACTCATTTTTAAGCTACTATATATATATATATATATATATATATATATATATATATATATATATAGTAGTCCCTTGTTTATCTTGGAGGTTTCCGTTCTCAGCTGACCTGCGATAAATGAAATGCTGCCAAGTAGGAATAGTACAATAGTAGTAGTAAGAAGTAGTTTAGTTTAGTATACAATAGTCCCTTGCTACTTCACAGTTCGTTTATCGCAGACTTTCTCTATCGCGGCTTTTCAAAATAAGATTGGACATGACACATCATTGTCTAATGGATGGATGAGCTGCATGATTGGCATGGATTTTTTTAAAATTTAAAATAAATTATTTAAAAATTATTTAGCACCTCCTGCACCTTTGTGCAGCCCATATGGCAGGATAAACTTCCTGATGCAGCTGATCAGCTGTTCTCCGTGCAGAGCGAGAAGTGGGCGTGGCCAAGAATGCTTGCAGGTGGCTGAGTGCAGCCGTGGCTGAGAAGAGGCAGGGAGCTGAAATCATGACATTCTGTGTGTTTAGAGTTTAGAAACATTGTTTAGAATATTGCAAGAGTGTGTGAAGGGTTTAAAAC